GGCACTAGTTATATAACGGTTCTGCTAATTCAATAGAACACAAGTTTTAGGAAAAATTTTAGAATTTGTTCCAAATTAACTAGTTCTAGAACTATTTCAGTACCATTCAGATTCATAGTGATTTCTAGAACTCTTTTTTAGAACACTGTTGTAATTCTAAAGTATTTCTTAGGAAATGGAACTACAATAGAACACCAGTTACGAAACAGCTTCTAGAACTGGTTCCAATCATAACAATTCTAAACAAAACTCGCTAAGAAAGAACTTGTTCTAGAACCTTTCTAAATAAGCAGATTCGGAACTACTTTTTTGGATGACAAATGAGAATCAAAATCATTTATTAAAGAACTGGTTCTAGAACTGTTTCATAGAATGAGTGACTACAACATATCGCTTCCGAAGGTGACAATTTCTAACAAATATCGACAACAAAACGCTTTCTTAAAACAATTTCCGAAGATGACAATTTTGAATCAAAATTAGAACGAATACAGATTATAGTCATGTGTTCTAGAACTAGTTACTTCTCAAAAAAATCGCCTAAAAAGAAACTAATTCTAGAACCGTTCTAAATAGCAATATATGTTTTCTTAAGTAACTCTAGAACTAGTTCCGTGGATGGCTAATTCAAGCAAACTTCATAAACTAAAGCATCAGTTCTTGAACCGTTTCTTAAAACGAGTATCGACTCCGTATATGTTTTCTAAAGTATCTCTAGAACAAGTTCCGTGGATGACTAATTCAAGCAAACTTCATTAACTAAAGAATTAGTTCTGGAGCCGCGTCATAGAACGAGTATCGACTTCATATCGTTTCCACAGTAACGGGGTTTAAAGGAGAAAATTTCGAACAAATATCATTAGTCTTAACTACAAACTCAAAGAACTATATAAGTTATAATCGCGTGTCCCTAGAACTAGTTGTTTCACAAAATTGGTCAAAATCTTAACAGTTTCGATCGAAGAGTATTTTTTCCAGAAGGGTTCTAAAGAAAGGCTCTTTTTTCTCAAAAGCTTGTCTGGAACTAGTTCTGAAAATGACAAATTCGAACAAAAATCATTGATTAAAGAACTTGTTCTTGAAGCGTTCCTTAGAAAGATTGTTCAATCTATAAAGCTTCCATAGAAACTGTTCCGAACGTGATAATTTGAAACAAATGTCATTGCTTTCAACTGCGCAAACTAGAGTACAGGCTATTATAATGCGCTCCAGAACTAGTTGTTTCACCAAATTGATAACAATTGAAACAATTTCGAATAAAAATCGCTGAAAAACAAACTAGTTCCAGAACTTTTCGTAGGAAGGGCTATATGTTCTACAAAGTTTTTCTGGAACAAGTTCTAAGGATTGCAAATTCTAACCAAAATGTTTCATTAAAGAACTAGTTCCAGAAGCGTTGCTTAGAACAAGTGTCGACTTTATAAAGCATCTACAGAAACTATTCCGAAGGTGACAATTTCAAACAAATATCATTGCTACTTCAGACTAGAACAAGTACAGGCTATTATAATGCGTTCTAGATCTAGTTGTTTCTCCAAATTGATACCAATCGAAACAATTTCAAATAAAAATCGGCGAAAAACGTACTAGTTCCAGAACTTTTCTAAAGAAGGCCTATATACTCTATTAAGCTTCTCTGGAACTCGTTCTGAGGATTGCAAATTCTAACCAAAAGGATTCATTAAAGAACATTAAAGAAGGCGTTCCCACGACAATCGGTTCTTCGCACCGGAACGACTCGGAGTTCAACGAACAACGACCAAGGATTGTCAACTCAGCCACACCGACTTTACACGTATTAAAGAACTAGCTCCTGAAGCGTTCATTAGAACAAGTTTCGAGTAAATATAAGGTTTCAACTTCAAACTTAAATAACTACAAGCTCTAAGCATGCGTTCTCGAACTAGTTGTTTCTCACAATTGAGCTCAATTTTAAAAATTTCGCCTTAACAACACCAGTTCAGAAGGAGGCAGTTCAGAACTAGTTGTTTCTTACAATTTATCCCATTTTTAACAATATGTATCTCAAAAATAAATCGTTCTTCTCTAGAACTAGTTTCAAATGATGACAAATTCAAACAGAAATCATTGATTAAAGAATTTCAAAAAAGGTTCCATAGAATGAGTGTTAAGTCCATAACACTTTCACAAGTTCCTGTGCTGATAATTTATGTCTATCGCTTAAATTCAAAAAGAACTGGTTCCAGAATCTTTCTTCTGTAGAACTAGTTTTAAATGATGACAAATTCGAACAGAATTCATTGATTAATGAATCTAAAAAAACGTTCCATAGAATGAGTGTTAAATCCATAACACTTCCACAAAACCAGTTCCGTTACTGATAATATATGTCTATCGCTTAAATCAAAAAGAACTGATTCCAAAATCTTTCTTATCTAGAACAAATTATGATAAATTCGAACAGAAAACATTGATTGAAGAATATCAGAAACGTTCCATAGAACGAGTGTTAAGTCTATAACACTTAAACAAAACCATTTCCGCGGGTGTTAATTTCTGCCTATAACAGATTTCCAAGGAATAAAGCCAATGTATTGGGAATATTAACAGCTATAAAATGTCATATTTAGAAGCAGATTTTGTATACTTTTTGTTTCTATTTCTATTCTAATTCATTTACAAGAAACAGTAGATAGAGGGAAGATCAAGTATTTATACTTTTCAATGGGAATGGTTTCATTTCCGTAGTTGTTGTTATTTAGTTGTTTTACCTAGAATTGTCCTTATGAAGATGTAGTTGTTCTATAAAGTTTCCTTATCACTAGCTCCGAGGTCTGCTTTCAAAATCCTTCTTTAAAAGAAAATTCGAATCTATATCTTTTACAAAGAACCAGTTCCGATGATGAGAATTAATAATTACGAACAAAAGTTATCGATAACAAACTGATTTTAAAACCCTTCTTTAGAACAAAATGTCGTCTCCTTAGAACCAGTTTCAAAGTTTACAATTTCGATCAAAAATCTTTATATTTAACGCCAAATAGTTCAGAAACCAGTTCAAGACTATGAATACATATATCTTAGATTGTAATTCTCAAACAGTTTCTATGAAAAACATGGAACATTTTGAACTGAAACCATTTTGTTTTTTTAAATTTACTTAAAAAAGTACTTTAGTATTATTTACTTAATAATAAAGCTTTTAAAAGTGTACACATTTAAAGAACATTCTAAAATCTCTTTCAGTTAACTCAAGCTTTTTCTCTCAAGTTCTTTTCTTCTACTCCAACAAATTACTAAAAAGCTAATAATTTAACTTAAAGATGTTCTTTATGGAGATAGGAGAAACAAAATACAATTACTGGCTGGAAAATTAGACTCTTTTCAATTAGTTAATATTTGTGAAATGATTAATATTTATTTAAAAAAAAGTTGCATAGTGTGAAAACCTAGAAAACTAAAAAAAAAAATATAAGAAAAAAATGTGTTCACAAAAGAAAAAGTTTTCTTGTTTGTTGTTTTTGTATAGTTATTTTTCTTTTTCGTTTTTGTTTTGTTTTTTTTTTACAATTAATGTTAACACTTTTCATGTTTTAAGTAGTAAATTATACAAAAAATAATAATAATAATAAAGATAATAATATAATAATTAAAGTATAAAATAATAATTTTTAATTAATATTTTATGTATTAAATCCTTACAAATCAGCGTAGTATACGTAAGTAATTTAATTACTTTCTATTGAGAACATTACAGAAAATATATTATGTATGTAGTGGTTGTTGTTGGTTTTTTTTTTTCAAAATTATGTTTGTTTTTTTGTTTTTTTTAAACTAAACTAACTAAATAAAAAAAAAGTGTTATAAAAATAAGGTTTTTTTAATAATAATAATAAAAAATAATTAAACAAAAAAAATAAAATAATAAATAAAGAACCGTGAAGGAAAAAAAACTCAAAAAACTAAATAATTTGTTAATAAAATTATATATATAAAAAGTAATAATTGTATTTTTTTAACATAAACATAAAAAAAGTTATGATTAAAATTATTAATTAATAACTAAAACCTAATTAAAAATTACTACTTCTTAACAAACCGCTGTAAATTTAGGAAAAACCAAAAAATCTCCTTTTAAATAGTTTTTCATTAAAAAAAATAATAATAATAATAATAAACAAGTAAATAAAAAAAATTTAAGCAATTAACAACAAAATTTTTATTTATTTTATTGCTTTAAGTGAAATGAGAAAACAGCGGCTTTTGGAAGTTATTTTTTTTTTTATATTTTAAATGTGTATGGATATTTTTTTTCTTTCTTTCTTGCAAAACTATTTATATTTATATATAATTTTATACTTTTCGACTAATTTTAGCTACAAAAAAAATGTTAAAATGTTTAATAATATAATTTTATGTTAAAAATATAATTTAAAAAGTTGACTGTCTCTAAAATGTGGTAATTTACAGTTTAAGTTTTATTTCTTTCTCTTAAGGATTTTCCAAAAATAGTTAAAAAAAACATCAGCAGAGTTCAGCTTAGAAGAAGACAACAATATATACTTTATAGTATTTGTTTTAAAGTTCTTTTCTTTTCCATTTACATGTATGAGTTGTTGTAAACTATTTGTAAAGCCTTTAAAGTTTTAATGGTTGCACAAATTTATTTATTATTTTTCTATATGTAGAGTGTGTTGTTTTCATAAACTATAGTTTAGTTCTAGGCATTTTTCATATATGTATTCTTTTTGGCAATTTTGGTAATTAATTAATGTTAGAAACAATCTCATAATATGTTCGAATAGTGTATTTAATATATAAACATTAAAAATTTCTATAACGAAATTTGTTGTTTTTTTTAATAAAATTTCTATCTGTTTTTAAGTCATATATAGATATAAAATAAAAATAACATAAATTAATTTAAATAGAGGGTGATTTTTGTTATATATTACTTCTACAAGGTCCTATAGTGTGTTTAAAATAATTTCGAAAAAAGAACCATCTTAAATTCGAGTTTTAATTTTGAAATATTTTTGAAAAAAAAAAACGTTTCAGGTTCTACATATCAAAGCAAATTATAGAAAAATTTTCGGTTTTAATTTCTTTATGAAAAAAGAGAGAGAGAAAAAAAGCTTTATAATACAATCTCACCGATAAGACTTGATTTAAAGTGGAAAATCGTTTTTTTTATGACAAAGGACGACAAAATTTAATAAAAGTCAAAACCTAAGGACTATAGTATACTTCTTTCGAAGAATTAAACTGTGCTGGATATGACCACAGACTCCGATATCTTAGTCTCCAAAGAAACCTTGATTAAACCTTTATTTTGAAGCCAATAGATAGGACCTTCAGATTATAAATTTTATTAATAAGGGATACTTCAGGCTGTTATAATGTCTCGAATATGTAGAAAAATGGGTGTTTAAACCCTAAGACAAAGATATCTCTTTAACATGAACTCACATTCGGATTCAGCACAGCTCAATCCTTTTGAAAAGTGTACTTTGGTATCTGGATAGACTCTGGCCTGTCTTATGAAACAAAATCTTACTTTAACGATTTCTAATCTGTTCGTTTTCTTTCCTTCACCTTAAAAAGTTTGATATAAACCAATAAGTTTTGGTAAAACACGATTTTGAATTGTTATTTTTGGTGTATCTTAAAGAAAATATGTGTAAAAGGCAATTAATATCAAATATTTGGAAAAATTAGAAAAATTCTTAAAAAGTTGTTCTTAGCGAAATACTTCTGGAACGAGTGTAAACAGAACCACATTATAAACAAGGTTACCAACCTTGGAATTGCCAATATCTGGAAATTACTTCTAGAATAAGTTCTCTAGAACAAGGGTATAATTCTGAAGTTTTTTTAAGGAGTTTTTAATAAAACCAGTTCTAGTTGTAGAATAAATAGCACTTCAGGTTTTGGGTAACAACTTTAGAACTAGTAATATGTCGTAATGACTTCGAAAACCAGTTCTATGGAAGATTATTGTGTTCCTTAGGCACATCCAAGGGGTCCCAGTACTTTGGCTCAGAACAAACTATGGAACTACAAGATCAAATATTCGATAAAAATCTCACAATCAGTTTCGAGGATGAGAACGTTGTGTTTCTAAAGTGTTTTTAAGGATTTTTTAAGAAACTAGAACTAGAACTCTAGGTTTTTGAGTAAAAACTTTGGAACTAGTGTTATGACTTCGAAAACCAATTATATGGAAGATTACTGTGTTGCTTAGGTAAATCTAAGGAGTTTTCTAGATCCCAGTACTTTGGCTCAAAACAAACAGTATTTTCTAGACAGCATTATGGAATTAGAAGAACTAATATTGCATAAAAATCCTTCAATCTGTTTCGAGAATGAAAATGTTATGTTTCTAAAGTGTTTTTAATGAGTTTTTTAAGAAACAGTTGAGTAAAAACTTTGGAACTAGTGATATGACTTCGAAAACCAATTCTATGGAAGATCGTTGTGTTCCTTAGGCACAGCCAAGAAGTTTTCTAGGCTTCACTACGTTGGGTTAAAAACAAAGAGTAGCCACAATATTATTGCTCTAGAAGAACAAATATTCTAAAAAAAATCCCACAATCTGTTTCGATGTTACGAGGATGTTATGTTTCTAAAGTGTTTTTAAGGATTTTTTAAAGAAACAGTTCTAGTTCTAGGTGTTTGACTAAAAATTTCGGAACTAGTGATATGTCGCAATGGCTTCGAAAACCAATTCTATGGAAGATTATTTTGTTCCTCAGGCACATCCAAAGAGTTCTCAAGGCTCCACTAATTTGGCTCAAAACAAACAGTATTTTCTTATTATGGAACTAGAAGAACAAATATTCGATGTAAGTCTCACTATCTGTTTCGAGCTTTCGAGGTCTCGAGGATGTTGTATTTCTAAAGTGTTTTAAAGGATTTTTTTAAGAACTAGTTCAAGTTGAAGACCGAATGCCGCTACGACTACTTGAATAACAACCTTGGAACTAGTGATATGTTGTAATAACTTATAGAATCCATTCCCTGCCAAATTGTTTCGATTCAAAAGCGCTTTCAAGGAGGTATCTAGAGACATTTTAGGACGTGCACTTTGATTCAAAACAAACATTATTTTCGAGAGAACAATCAGTTCCAATGATGAAAATACCGATCATTTCATTGTTACAACAAAATGTTTCAAAGTGTTCAAACATGTTTATTTTATAAACGATGTAGACCCTTGAATGTAATTCAATAACTCACTTCGAAAAGAAAAAATAATCAAAGTTTAAAGACTACAATTTGGTAGGAATTTAATTGAGCAACTAATCTCTGGGTAAAAACGGAACGTTAAAAAAGAAACAATCTTTTATTTTAAAATTTCAAGTGAAATCGATTTTCAAAACCTATTTTTCGAACAGTAGTTATTTGCAGTTAATCTTCGAATCATGTAATAAATTTCGAAATCAAGGTCTGATAAAATCTTTCGGTTTTTAAAAAAATTATCAATTGATACAAGAAAATTCAATATATCAAACCTCTTGATCTAAAAGTAGAAGCAATCCATTGTTATATAGGCTTTTCTTTAATTCATAATGAAACTTAATCATCTTCTTAACAAATTTTAAAATACCAAAAAAAATAGAAACCAAAGAAAAAAATTAAATTAAACTCGTTATCTTGTTTTTATCATAATTTTATTCGAATTAGACATATTTTCGAATTTCTAACTAAATACTCGATTTTATACAATTCTCAAAATTTTGAAATACAAATGTATAAAAAGAAACAAACAAAAAAGTATACACTGCTGATGATTTTTTTCTTATACATTAAAGAGATGAGTGAGTACTAATCTTAGATTGGAGATCATGTTTTGTTTTGTTTTGTTTTTTTTTTTTAATTTGTAATTTAAAAAAAATATAAATTTGAAAAATTAAACACAGTGAATTCGAAAGCCACATTTATGTAGCAACAAAGACAATAAATGGATGGAATTATAAGATAATTCAAATTTTTAAAATTTAATTAAATTAAATATTAAAATAATTTTCTTAGATTTTTCATCTTGAAAGAATGATGATTGGTTACAAAGTGTGAAAAACGATTATATGTATGTTTTTTTGTTTCTTCTGAATAGTACAATAGCAGTAGTAGTAGTAGTAATAACAAAACAACAATGGATAGTAGTCCTAATTATTCCTCTAGCCATGTAATGAGGGAAGGAATATTATTAATATTTAAAAGATTGTAAGGGAAATTTAAAAGGAAAAGAAAACATTTACACACATACACAAAACTAATAAATATTGCCACCACACATTTGTCAATTGAAACAATTGAAAATCAAACCTAAACATCATACTATGTATTTATTATTGATCACATTTATCGATAGAAGTCGTCGGTACCTCTGTGTTTGAATTTAAGGAGACTTCTGTTAAGAGTTCAGCATCACTTGCCTTAGTTGCATTCTTCGTAGTGGGCCCATTGTCGTTATCGCTGGTATTAGCTTCAACAACTTCTCGTATGGTGGTGGGTTGTTGATCTTGTTTAACGGTGGCCACATGTCGCTCTAAATCAATTGCGAATGGATTGCAATTGCAACTACTGCTACTACTATTTGTAGTACAACATTCACTGGTACAGAAACCACTGCTACTACTATTGCTGCACACAGAGGCCGCCGTAGTAGTGGCTGTTACTTTGCCCATCTCTAGTTCTTCTGACAGTGTGACCGAACCAATATCGTCTTGTAGCCTAAGCTCATTTATTTTCTTGTGGCCAATATCACAACAGTCTGAATCAATGCCATCCGATTCATTATTACTGCCAGCTGATGGTGGTTTCGTTATTTCTGTAGATGGTGGCGGTTCAGTGCATTCTTTCACTATTACCAAATTCAAAGAATATTTTGCCTGTGGCTTTGTTATGGACCCGGTAGTCGTCGTAACGTTAGTTTTTTTGGGCTTTTGCTCCACATTATCTAACGCCTTTTCAGATGCTTCTGGTACTTGTGGAAAAACAAATGCTGTTTGTGTGTGTTCGTTAGCGTCACCTGTGTGTATTAAAGCGCTAGACGGTGTGTAATAAATACTGGCCGGTGACTCTTCTAAATCATCATTATCATCTTCGCCATTTGTTTCAAATGAATCCTGTCTGGCCAAATTCGTCGTTGTTTTGACATTGAAACCTATTGCATGTATTTTAGCCGGCTTAGCTGCCACAATCACCACATTATTACTGTTCCGTCGATTATTGTTGGCATGAGAACTGCTGCAACTGGGCAATGTTTCTCTACGCTCGCGTAAATATGAATTTGAAACTCCTACACTTCTTGTGAAACTACTACCGAAACTACTGCCATGGCTCATGGCAATGCCACCAGCTCTGCCACCACTAATACTACTTGCCATGTCCGCCATAGAGCGTGGACTTTTACAGGGCGAGTTACTAAAGCTTAATTGATTGTCACAGATGGAAGAGTAATAATCTTCACAGAGGTCACCGGTGGCTATGCTTGCATTCGATGTGGACACAGAATTGACACTGGTCGCTCGATCTAATTGTTCGCAAGAAGAACCCGCATTAACAACTGGCGGGGGTGGGGTGACGGAAGGCGGAGTGGTCGTGGACAATTTGTGGGTACGACTAGCCATACTGCACATACTATTACGCCTCATGGAGGTGGTCTGTTGAACAAAGTTTTCACAGAAATCCACTGGATCAGTACGGAAATAGTTTTGAAACCATTGAAATTTTTGTGACAACTTTAGTTTGTTCTTTTTCAATTTGATTTTTAGTTTCAGCTTCGAAGAGATCGCCACTCCGCCTCCACTACCCGCAGCAAGGGCAGTCGAGGAGGCCAAAGAATCATCTGAGCAATCGGCTAAAGTGCTGCCGTTTGAATTTGAACCCTTAACGAGCTTATAAGAAGATTTACGTTTGAAAATAGGTTTGTGTGGAGATTGTTGCTGTTGTTGCGGATTTTTGGGGGCCATTAAGAGATGCATTAACTTGGGACGATTATTGGGATGAACCTCAGCCTCACACGCAATACTACTTGTAATATTGTTGTCTCCGACCTTGAACTCTACAGACTTAGTGTTAGTATCTGTTGATGTATTGGGGACTGGTTTTACCACTTGGTTCGAGTTTAATTTCTTAAATTTAAATTTTCTGTCGTCGTCATTATTTTTATTTTTATTATTATCATCATCATCATCATCACCACCAACAACTCTATTTGTACAACTACTATTGCTAGTTTTACTTTTATTGTTAGAAGGACATTTGGAAGCAGAGGATACGGAAGTGGAGGAGGAGGATGAGGAAGAGGTATTGGAAGTGTTGGAAATACCGCTATTAAGATTTTTACAATTTCTTAGGGTATTAGGGAAACTGGTTGGATTGGTAGTGTTTGAAGGAGGAAGAGGTGGAGCAGGTTGATTGGAAGGAGAGGTAGTAGTAGAGGAAGGGGGAAGAGGAGAAGGAGGAAGAGTGGAAGTTGGATTTGTTATAGAGGAAGTAGAAAGTAGTAAAGTAATGTGTTCAAGTTGTTTAGCTTGGGACTCACCGGATTCCCAGTCCTCTTCATTATCTCCAATGGCTGATGACGATGATTGGCTACTGACACTACTAGTCTTGCTGCTATTGTTACTGTGGTTGTGATTGTAGCTGTTGCTAGCCATGTTATGGGTGCTATTGTTGCCACTGCTGCTGTTGCTGCTGGATTTGTTGGCATTTACATTGGTGGACGGTTGAAATGCAGTTGCAGCATCCATATTATTGGGATGATGAGCATGTACATCTCCTCCACCTCCACCACCAGCAACTTGTCTTTGCAAATGCCTTTGATTTGTCGTTGAGGCCAGTGTCATCATATTTTTCTGTTGTTGTTGCTGATTCTGTTGTGGCATATTGTTTTTATGCTGCTGCTGTTGTAGTTGTTGCTGTGGATGATGATGCTGTTGTTGGTGCTGTTCCATATAACTCGGTGGTAGCGTCATATGCTGTGCAGGAGTTGGCGCTGAAAACACTTCACTATTATTGACAACATCTGTAGCTGTCATATAGTGATTACTATGATGATTACCAAACGTTGGCACAACACCAATCTTTCGTTGTGCTGTACTTCTAATTGATTCATAGCCATTACTGGTATCCGTTCCACCACCAACCCCTAAACTACTACTGACCGATGTCGATGAGGATGATTTTTGATCACATAAATAGTTCATTTCACTGCCACTGCTATTATTCTGTGGCAACGAATAGTTGTTTGATTGTTGCTGATTCTGTGTTGACATTCGCACTGCTCCAGCATTTTGCATTGTAGTCCGATGATTTGAAGTTAAACGATTACTACTAGAAACTTTCATATGATCACGATCAACATTGGTGTCATCGACATAAAACACAAGTTCCACCTGAAAATATACAAAAAATATATATAATTTTCGTTATTAAAATGAAGTTTGAAGTTTATTAAAAATTTGTTCGATAGATTGAAATTAATTCATTCCCGGGAAATAAGTTTTAAATGCATACCTTAAAATCTTCAGGATAACATTTGTCCTTGTGTACATCATCGATTTCCCATTTTTGTAAAGTATAAACAAATTTAACATCATCGCCTTCACCCTCAATAACTGCAAACACCAAAGAAAAAAATAATAATATTAACAAAATAATTAAAAATTAAAAACATACCAGAAGAATCAGTTACAAAAAATGTATTAAACCAAAAATGAAATATTTTCTTATTATTTTTCGTTAATTCGACTTTAATATCACCCGCTACGGGTAGGGGTGGATTCTTCATATCCAGCACATTATGTTTGCGAAAATCAATTGGAAAATTTTGCAATTGCTAAAGAAAAAATATAAATAATTATTAATGAAAAGATAAAAAATAAAAGAATATATTTCATACCTGCACTTTATCTTGTAATACAGAAATTGAGCAATGTACGCTACCCTGACTATGTAACGTATTGGCCTTCGAAAAACGTATTTCGCAAAACTTAAAGTAGAGATAAGAGGGGAAATAAAAGATTAATATTGTTTATATTAAAAAGTTTAGAGGATAAACTCACCTGTAGGGTACGACGCTCGTACGGTAAACCCAATCTCATTAATTTGGAAAAATACTGAACATAACGACGTTGCGATGGAATCGTTACACCCTTGCGATCCTTGGTACGTTTTTCATCGTAACATGCTAAAGCATCTTCAGCTGTATGCTGTTGACCACTATAAAGCAAATAACAACAGATCATGGTTCCTGCAAGTGAATTTTTTTTTTTTATTATAATTTTGATTTAATAACTTGATTTTGATATATTTCCTTACCAGTCCGACCTTTACCGGCTTTACAATGTACTGCAGCCACATTGAGAGCGTCTGCTTTTAGCCAATTGTCTACATCATCACAAAATTTCAGTATTAATTCTATCGTAGGTGGGTTATGATCCTCAAAAGGGTAAACAGAAACTCGCTTTAAAAGGAAAAGAAATTTTACAAATTATTCCATATTTTAATACAAAGTTTTCACAATTTGTTTTGTAAAACTCTTTTTTATAAATTTAAAAATAATTTTATTTACTTAATGTTTGATGAGAGATTAGATCTATAAAATTACGAGACTAAATTGAAAATGTCAAGTCAATAACAAAAGCTTAAAGAAAACTTTTGGAAAATTTTACTTTCTGCAATGAAAGAATTGGAAAAAAAACTCCTCATTTACACTTACCCCATGAAACTTTGTAATATCATAGCTGCGCTCAAGACATAGATTATATATTTTATAATGATCATGATGATTATCTTCTAAAAATTTGTAAACATCCCCTAAAGGATTTCGGTACATACTCTCATAATTGTCTGCTGGATAACCCATGGCAATAATATTATCACATACATCTAACAGAAAAAAGAAAAATTAATCAACTGTATACACTTGTACATTTGCCAATGAATTTAACTTACAGGCTAAATCCAAATTAAAACCTTTCTCCTTGTAGCGTATACGCTGTTTGCTGACCACATTTCTCAATACGTTCGTCATAACGGAAAGAGTATTGGCCATCTTCTGTTTAAACCTGTAAATATCGATGCCGGTATTAGAACCGGCCTCGTTTGCTAAGCGTTCTTTGACGCTGCTAACGCTATATAAGCTGTTCGCTTTTCTCAGACCCGTTTTTTGGCTGTTACTTGATTTTGTCTTTCTCAATCTATTTAAATGTTTGAAATTGCATGTAAGTTTTTTTAAATGTTCTGTTTGCGTTGTGTTTGTTGGATTGTCGATATCTTGATATCTATCCTTTATTTTATTATTGTTATTTGTGTAATTAAGTGGCTGATAACGTTTCCAATTTGATGCATTTAAATAAAATTTACCTCCTTGTTGAAACATACATAAAAATTGCCAAAAATCCAACAATTTAATTTTTTTAAAAAATCAATTGTATGGATATTGTTTGTTGTTGATTGCCAAAGTGATCATCATTGTGGAACCGTTGTGAATTTGTTCACTATTTAATGTTTAATGTTTTTTTTTTATATTATTTTTTCTTATTTTTGTATGTTCTCTTTGTAGAAATTGTAAAGTTTGAGTGATTTGTATACAAAAAAAAGACTATATAATTTGGTCCGCCTCTATTGATGTGTTGTGGGATGGTGGTTAATTTTATTTGTTGTTGTAATTATTTTATAAAATTTGTATTCCTTTTTCCTTGTCGTCGTCTTCGTTAAATTTTATTTCACGGCACGGTTTTCGATTTTTGTTTATTTCTAATTTATTTTAAAGGGGAGATTGTATGTCTGGCTGATTTGACGCTCAATATCAAATTGATAATAAATCAATTGTTGGCAAATCCATTCTGTAAAACAAATAATATAATGAATTTATTATAGAATTGTTAAGAGTAAACAAATTGTTTGAAATTTCGATATAAAATTATAAATAAATGCAAATCAAAGAAGAGTAAGGTAAGGGGGTTATAAATTTTGGATTTCTGTTAAAATTCGACAAAATTTTAGCCAAATAGAGAAACTGAAGATGAAAAATTATAGAACTGTGCCCTCAAATATAATTGCATTAAGAAAAGTCCTTTCAATTGGGATGAGTACTCCAAGGTTATAATAAATATAAATTCGATTTATCTGGTCTTCTTTTACTAGTTACGGACCATGATTCTTGCGGATGATATATAGCAAATAGGCAGAGGACTGGTAGATTATTTCAGGTGAATTCCGAGACATTATGAATTCTCGAGAATATCCGGGAATTCTCCCTAATTAATAATCCCGCTATCATGGGAAGTTGTGTAGTAATTCACAGGAATTACTTGTCACTTAGAATGAAACAATGATCTGAAATCTATTACCACTATAATTCTTGTTATTTTGGATTCCTGAATAATGGAAAAGTTTGTAAACATTCCGTTCAACAATACAAAAGGAATATTGTCTGAGTAACTTGGTTGGCAGTATCAATCAAATATGGTTATGACAATTTTTGTAGAGATCTTAGAATATTTAAAATAATAATGATCTCCAAAGTCGTATTCGGGAGGTGCGTATCCATGGGGGCTTAGGGAAATTATATAGATATAAAACATTTGCAAAAGTCTTTGAGCCAAAAAAGACGCATGTTCCAAATTTCATTAAAAATCTTGAAAATGCAATTTATATCAAGCAAACAATGTTCACATCTCAGACGGATGCACATAGATAAGTTAAGACTCGGAAGTTGATTGATTTTCGTGCTTTACAAACATCAGCACAAACCCATAATACCATCATCAATGTTTGTGTAGGGTATAAAAAAAGGTACATGAAAAGTAAATTATAAATAACTATTCCCTTATTTTTAAGTGAAATCTACAAGACAATCCTTTAAGTCGGATTAAAAAAAAACAAAATTTACTTAACACCACTTCCTCTCAAGAATGGCAAATTTCTATTAAAATCTCACAAACTATTTAAAAATTACAGATTTATTTATATTTTTTTTTCAAATTTCTCCACTGTGCGACAATATAATCAACTTATTGTCTGACAATTGGACAAAATGACAAACAGACAGACAATCTGATTCAATACCAGCTACAAACAATCCTCTACACTAGATACCAACTGAAAAAAGTTTTCCTGCTGCAGCCCTCAACATCAAGTTGCTATGGATAGAAAAAATCTTTTTTTTATAGTCGTTGTCTTCTTCTTATTTCACTGCTACTGCTGTTCTCTGCTTAAATTTTTTTTGTTGTATTTTTGTTTAACATACATTCGAGTTTGTGTGTGCAAGTGCACTATAAAAATTTTATACACAATACAACCAACTACCAGCCAGCCAACCAAACGACCAAACCAACTTAGCTAGTGGACGACTGGCAACTCTACTCTATTAGGCTTTTTTCGTTCTCTACTTTAGCTCTTGCAGTAGCGGCAGAACTTTCAAATATTCCCTCATATCATCCTTCAATCTGACTCGAGATTAGAGATTTTGCTATAATTAGTGCGCCTGGGATTTAAATCGGCTTCAAAATCCTATTTGAAATGTTCATGTTTGTCGTGTGTAACTTTTGTCAAGTATCAAGAACTTTTGCGCCGACCAACAAAACTAACTATACATACATACAAACACTTTAACCAACTTAATGGGTTAATTGTACTTCTGCTGCTAAGCACACATACTCACACTCACTCACTCATAAGAAGAACAAGAACCATGGTTAAAGAATGAACAAAAAAAAAACCTTTAAGAAATCTTTTACTCTATTCCACCAACCAAAATGGCAACAACGAAAAAAATTTACCTGTTTCACTTTTTTAATCCTTTTTATTCAGGATTTCTTTTCCAATTTGCTTTTGAATAACTCAACTCTCTACAATATGAGTAGAAATAAAAAATATATAAGAAAATTGTAGAAACAAAAATCACTGTAAGACTATTTAAACCAGACGGACGGACGGACAAACTTTTTTTCTCGTCTTTTTTGGTACGTACATACGTGATTCGTATGAAACCGGACAACTTCGGGCTTGCTTAACACACAATGGAACATGCGTTCCTTTTTTTTCTTCTTTGCTTTATATTCACTACTAGTACATTTTTCGTTTTTCAACTAAAACTCTACAAAATTGGCATTTTTATGAAATTATCTGGTTAATTTTCACAATTTCACTTAAATATTACATACTTTTTCATAATTTGTATAAAATTTTCACGCTTTTTTTTCTTTTATTCTCTTTTTTCTAAAAAATAGTCAACTCAAATGAAAAATGAAATATATTTCTTTTCTTTCAACAAAAATGTCAATAGTGATGACACCATTTACGAATTTGCGTTTAAAGCAAACGTGTTGATAGTTATCGATGGCTACAGCAGCAATGGCTATCGTTTTGTAGGTTTATCCTGACACTTGCTTTTAGTTTTCCTTCGCAAAATGTATCCTGACACTTGCTTTAAGTTTTTTTTTTTATTCACAAGAGGTATCCTGACACTTGCTTTACAGCAATATTCCCCAGAACAAAAAATAAGAAGAAAAGTATGCTGGAGAAAACGGAATGGGCAACATAAGAAACACATAAAATTCGATAATTATCGTTTAACAATTGGGAAAATAATTGCACTTTTGTTTTTGCTTATTACCACGTTTATTTAATGTTTACACAATTGTATTTTTATAATGTTTGAATATTAAATATTTTGCAGATTTTTTTGGGGATATTTTCAATTTTAAATTCACATTTTTTAATATTTTATAAAAAATTCCTCCATTTTTTCTTGCTGTCTGTTCCCGTCTTTTCACCAGAGCCCTGCGCCGACAAATATTAACGACGGCGGGGACTGACACCAAATATGTCCGCGGCGGCTTAAAATCGACTGTAAGCCGGCTAAGTTTTCAACTACGTTTAGTTTTTAATTTTTCAACGATTTTAAATAAAAACGGAACCCGAGAGATCAGAAAGTGGGATTTTGGAAGCAAATATATTGTTTATAACAACAAAACAGAGAAAGCACAAAAGTTGTGTGAGAAATTATGCAGGGATGGATAAAAAATTCTTAAAAATTAAAAACAAATCCTTTCTCCAAGTTTTACGAGGATCGGCCTATATTTGACTCTATCCTCCATATAAAACATCTTGTAGAAATCAGTTTCTAAAAAATTTTGCATTAAAAAATGATCAATAACGTAAAAACAAAGATATTTTATTTATTTATTGATTCAGTAATAAAAAAGCCAATTTGGGCAAAATAATAAATTTCTCGTTTAAAAACGAATTCGCATAATTTTTCTCGTTTTAAAACCGAATACACAAATCTAGTGGAAAGTAAATCGAATGTAATTTTATTCTAATAAATTAAATAATTATTTTTCTGCGTTTTTTAATACAAAACTCTTTTTCATATAAAAGCTGTGTTCCTTTTTGGTATACGCACAATTGGGACGAACGACGAATTTCTTATAGTACGACGAACTAGTAGACAACTATTCGTTGCGTAAATTTGTCGAATGGAACATAATCAAATTATTCGTAGTGCGAATTCGTTTCAAACTTTGTTTGTTCGAATTTGGAAAAAGTAAGAAAAAGGAACAAATATTATATTTTTGTGAATCTCCACGATTTTGAGATAATTTTACCAGCTTTAAAACTTATTCGAACATTATTTCGAAATTAGAACTAAAATTATATTTTTGTGAATATCCCCAATTTTGAGATTATTTTAACAGCTTCAAAATTTTTTCGAACAATACTTTGAATTTTCGAACTTAATTTTAAATATTACAACATAGCATTGTAGTGTCATCAAGTGTACTCCAGACTGCCAAATTTCAGACAATTCGGGCTACCGGAATTGGTCTTAAAACAATTTTCCCCAATTAATTCGTCGTTCGTCTGCGTAAGAAATAGAAATAAACGTATCGCATAGTTCGTTACGTACGACGAATTTCGTCATACGCAATGATTGTGTACATTTTCATATACCCAAGTGTGTTCTATTTCTGACGACGAATATTCGTTCCGAAAAATTCGTCGTTCGTCCCAATTGTGTGTATACTATTACTCGTCATGTTTTCAGGTTTTTACCAGAAATTGTAAAAGAGAACAAAATTGAGAAATAATAATAGTTTTCTCTTTGCCAGAACTTGTCGGTTTTAGCCAAAAAAAAATTTTCCTGGCAAATAGTTCTGTTCCCGTTAGTGTTGCCACTTCATGTGTAATTACACATATTGTGTGTAAATTTTATTTCCATGTGTAGCCCATGTGTAATTGGTTTCATGTGTAATTTATGTGTAATTAAGCAAATTTTTAAATCCTTCTGTAGAAAAGAGTCGGGAGAGTATATTCGGTTTGCGCTGATGTTTGTATCGCACAATAATATTGGTGCTACATCCACCCAGCAAAAATAAAACGAAGTACTTCCAAAAAAATAACATTTATCACCACTTCAAAAGTAGCACTAATTGAATTTTTTTACCTTCTGAGGAAGTGATGTTTAAAGACTTCCGAAGAAGCGAAAATAATTCTATTTTTTCAATGTTGAAGATATATTTTTTGTTTTTACATTTTTATGAGATAAAAAATGTTATATTTAGGGTTTTGTATTAAATGTGTCTATTATTCTAATTAATGTTAATATTATTTAAGTCAAATTAGTTGTATTCTATAATACTACAATTTCATTTCCGAAAAACTTAAAAAAAAGCATTCAAATTACTTCTTGAGAATGACTTCAGAAGTAGTGAATTTGGAATCAAATAAAAAGGACATCCCTCTTATGACAAGCCTGTGTTAACATCATCACATCTTCAGGTCTTTTTCAGTACTTCCATGGAGTAAATTCTAATTTTTTTCACTTCTTTGGAAGTTCTTTTTTTGCTGGACACCTTAAAGTATACAAATCAGAATCATTTTCTGAGTAGATTTAGCTCTATCCATCAGTCTGTCCTTGTAATCAATTTTCGATATAAATTTATGAAATATTGCACAAACTCTTCTTTTGAAAATGGTTAAAATCGGTTCGTTATTATATTAAGCCACCCAATAAAGAAATAATAATTATGATAATTTAGGCGCAATTTACATGAAGACTTTTCAGACGTCTGTTTTTTCCAATTCTCTTTTGAGAATCTTCCAAAAAATCATGAACATTTATACGGTGATTTTTTACATGCAACTATGCATGTCTTTTTTTGATGTTTAATTGTGTAATCCTTTTTAATTACTTATTCGTAATAAAAATAAAATGAAATTTTTAACATAAAAACCATTTAATTTGATTTAAAAAATTTTAATAACACGCTATAGTATTTTTTTAATGCAAATTTTAATGTTTTCATGTAAAAAAAAGACATAATTATTTTTTTACACGAGCATAATATCAACAGTACGAATGAGTTTAAAGAGGAATGTCAAAAACAATCATGAAAATCCCAAATCATGTTTGTTTTCTTACCCCCCATTCTTCTCTACCCCGCTCACCACCAATCATCGACAAACATGAAAACAGACGTCTGGGCAAACATGAAAAAAATCATCGTGTAAATTGGGTGTTAGTTTAAAGTAGAATTTTTTAAGAACTGAAATTAATAATATACATCCGGAAGTTCACCGTTGTTACATTTATTAGTTCTTAGTTTAATAACGAAAAAAGTCGATCACTCTTAAAAGTCGTAATTATGAACCATATATGAGTTGATATAATGGATTTTAATCATTCTGAATAGACTTCGATCGCACTTGTGCTAAAAGACTTTTATTTTTCAAAATATCTTAAAAATTGCTATCTGTACAATGCGAACAAGGAGCATGTGTAATTTTTCTTTAAATGTGTAATTTAGAAGCCGAACAAGTGTAGTTTCTAAATTGTTTAGTGGCAACCCTGGTTCCCGTAAAGAGAAAATTCATTAATTCTCTTTGGTTAATTTCAAAAGTTTGGTTAATTTCAAGTTTGATTAATTTCAAAATATATATCCTGGCGTCAATATTTGGTGAACTGGGTCAAAAGATAAATGGTCCTTCTTTTAAGGTTTTTTTAATTGTTCCACGTTTTACGCAAAGGATTGTTGTAAATTATGACTTCACGTGTTCAAAAATAATGAAAAAATTTATATTTTTAAGGCAGTTAATATTTAATTACATACATATGGGGAATTTCATGTCAAGTGACCCAACTCAAAAAATAAATTTTGATGAAATTTGCAAGGTTAGTACTATTGTGGATAGTAGGCCAGACACAAATTTTCAGTTGCATCGGTCAAGAACTGCCGGACTTAGAAGGGGTCAAAGTTGGACATTTTGGTCCTACGGTGTTTTATTCAAATGAGTGTAACTTTTCACCTATTGGTCCTAGAAAAAAATTGTCTAAAGGAGTTTAGAAACCTATTTCTTCATTGTTTCCACAAAAATTTAATTTTTTTTACATTTTTTATTTTTTTAATATTTTTTTAAAATTTTTTTCGTAATTCAGGTCTCGCGTCATCACCATTATTTTTTAAGGACGATCAGGCTTGTGTTTGTTGCCAAGCTTTCGACTCGCACCAATTGAGTGTATTACTCCGTATAAATGTTTTCAAGTTATGCGTTGTTTGCATTAATTGCGTGCTTTCGTTTTACTTACCTCCTTTGAGGTTATGTTTGATTAAATTGGTGGAGACCAAATACTTTTGATTAATTAATTGTTCGGGGCTCCAACTTCCTATATAAAGGTATAGGTCGATTGGAGGCCTCTTCGTACCAACGTGGGATAACCTGACATTTTGAGTGTTTTGAATACACCGCCAACAAATTACAGAGTTAAAAAAAGAAAGCTTAGACCATTTCCTTTGAAAGCTAGAAATAGAAATAACATTCAGCCTGAATAGTATTTGAATCCTGTCATATATTGTCATTAACTTCATTAACAACATCACTTGATTCCTCTTCCACAATTTGGTATTGCGTTATTTCATTTGAATGTTTGAAAGTTACAATAAGAATGAAAAAATATTTTTTCTTTTAACAGAAAATTTCAATGAATATATAATTTACAAATTGCAGTGTGTATAAAAAACAAGTTTTACGAAGTATTTCAAAAAAATCATTTTATATATCAAAATTGCGTATAATTTCTTTATAAGAAATATAAAAGAAATACATACACCCAAAATGTAAAGTTGATTAGTTTTTATTTCTTGTTTTAAATTTAAAAATAAATTAAAGAAGTAACAAGGAAATGCAGTTGGAAAATGTGAAATGCCTCAGTTTCATAATTTCATATTGGATAAAATTTTCAACATTAAAGCTTAATAAAGTTTTATAACAATTACAAATACCAGTTTCCCTGGAGAAAAAGAAAATTCCCCCTAATAAAAACATTTTGGAATAGCGACCTCTATTGGCAACCTTCTATTGATTGTTAGTTTTGGTTATCATTTCCCTTTGCATCAAATTATGAAATACATGAATATACTACTATTAATTTACAACTGTGATTAGTGCAGTGTTGCCAAGATATAGATTTCCTACTCTTTATTTTGAATGCAACTTTATTAGGGTGATCGACTCGATTTTTCAACCGGTTTTAAAACCGGTTTTTTCTGCTTTACCAGTGTCGGTTTTTTCTTAATGTTGAT